TTTCTTTCTCGCAGGCTATACGTCTTCAATTCAATTTCCTCTCTCCTGAGTTCTAAGTTGGAGAACAGTAGGTGAGTGAAGTTAGGAGTCTGGGGTGTTTGTACCTGTTTCATCAGAAAATGTGAAATCTGCTACCATCAAATTATCTCCTATCCTTCTACATACTCTGGCTCCCAACCCCTTCAGTACCTCTTAACTATTATTTCAGAGAGACTAAGACTCCACACCCACAGTGACTACAGATGCATAATTCAATTTTAGTTTCTGGATTCCCAGGATCAGGTTTAACCTCCCAAACTTTCTGCCCACAAGACAATTAATTCATGCATTTATTTATTCACAAAACATTTGTTGAGAGTGCATTACATATTAGGCAGTGAACAAAGGCATGGATATACAATAAGAAAACGTGGTCTCTGTTATCACAGACGGATTTATTGGACACCTTGCATGTATCAATTCTTTTATATTTAATTTAATGCTTTTAAGCAATATATGAGCTATATGTCTTTATCTTCATTTTACAGATTAGCATTAAGGAGTGCAGAGGTTTTATAATGTCTGCCCAAGGCCCTAATGATTGTGCGTGAGTTATAACCCAAGTGTGTGACCTCAGAGTTGGTGTTTGTTCTTACATGTTATTCAATACAGCATCTAACTTCTGGTCTCTGCTTAGTCCAGGTTAAGCCCAGGCATATCAAAAGTCTACCCCACATATCTAGACCATACTCATCAACCTTTCTAAAGGACCTAGAGGGACTAAAGTCCCCAAATTATTTTCCCTTACCCAATTTTTCTCTAGAACACTGTCCGGAGGTACTTGCTTCTGCAGGAGGGGACACTCATTTCTGGGCCTTCTCTGAGTCACTTGCGTTTAGTGAAACTGTTGTTGCTGACAATTTCTTCAATCTAGATTCATTACTTAATGGTGCCCTGGACATTCCCTTTAATGTGAGAGTCACATATTAAAAGACAACATACATTTCCTGAGTTCCTTAGGGCTTGCAACCTGTTTTCACATATATGACTTTAGTTAATGGTTCAACAATCCCTGGAAAAACCTGGAGTGTCTGAATACCAGAGAGAAAGGGAAGGGCGTGAGGGGGTAGTGAATCCAGGACCAGAGCTCATGTCTTAAGGCCCTTTTCCTTCAACTTTCTAAATATAAGTGAGAGTGAGGGAGG